ATAGATAGATAGATAGATAGATAGATAGATAGATAGATAGATAGATAAAGGGGAAAACTGCATGGAGATCATCTGCACCAGGTTTTATCCATTAGCATTTTTTATACAGATATTTTAAATTGAAACACATTGTCATTGTATGTGTACAGTAAATTATGAAAGAGAGCTGCCACATAGTGTTCAATATATCAGCAGGTACATTAACTGTACTTAACAGTTTGTGGTTGCAGTAATTGTTGCTCTCGTATAGAAGGCATTCTGTCTCTCTTCCACATTCACTTACATGCACACATGCAGACACACAGACCACTGCTAATCACAACTTGGTACAGGTAGTGAGGCATTGGGACTACTGGTGATTGAGCCTCCCTTGTGGATTGGAAGCAAGAATCTGACAGACTCAGATAAAAGGCTGTTTGGAGTTGCCTACAGCATCAAACAGCACCAGCCACCTCCTCCCTCCTCTCCTCTTTCCTACCATTACCTCCCCTCTCTTCATTCCTCCTTCTTTTGGTTTACTCTGTTGCCATAGCTACTCTCAGCCAGAGCCGTCACATAGGGGAGGAACCTGTCAGGGCTTCACTCTCAGATCACCTGATGCAGGTCGCCTCCACCGGCAGCCTATTTCACATGCAACATTGTTCATTTTGGCTTTGATTAAGTCTACTCTAGCGCACCACCGCTGAGGAGTGGAGCTGGCCTAACTTGTGCTTGTTAGAGCTCACGCAATTTTGCTGACTTTATGTATTCGAGAGAACCCATCTGAAAAGCAGACAAAAAAAAAACGTGTCTCCAATCCAATTTTCATGTCTGTACAGAGAGCCTAGGCAGCATGATTTGAGAAGAGGATGGGATGGAATTACCTGTTTTCAGTCACACCGTAGGGATGGGCGCATTTTTACATGAATGAAAATAGTCATAGGTAGGATTTAAGAGTGATATGAAACCCACTTAGAGCTAAATTCCTCCTGTAAACATTTTGTAAGGAACCCATTACCTGCTGTTCTGAATGTGTTACTTTTCATAATATGCAGCAACAACAAAGAGCTATCACCTCTTTTGTCTGCCTGCTCATTTGGCAGCCCAGTGGTTAGATGTTATATAGCTTTGTTTGCGTGTGTCTGTGTCTCTTTTCAATTGTGGGGAATTATGCTTGAACATATGGATGAAATGTACATAAATGGACATGTATTTGAATCTCCAATATATTTTTCTTCTGTATTTGCTTTACAGAGTTAAAGAACCAGACAATAAAAGAGGGAAGAGAGAGAGGTTGAAAGTTGTGGAAAGTGTTTAGAGTATGTATGTGTAGACAGATCGAGAGAATGAGAAATGTTGTGATCAAGAGAGGCTTGGACGCAGAGAGGGAGATGAATGGGACTGAGAGCAGGAAAATTGGACAGGAGGTGGAGAGTGAATGAAGATAGAGAATGGCTCAAGATATCTGGAGACAGAGATTGTGAGCTATGTGCAGGTAATAAACAAGGCAGACGAGATAGATATCTCAAGAGAGGAAAAAAGAAAAGTGTGTGATTGTGCACATGGGATTGAGGAGTTTGGTTCTGCTGAAAGATCACAAAAGAGAAAAGAAAACTAAATAGGAAGAAAGAGAGAAATGGAGGAGAGGCAGCTGGAAAGAAAACTGGTGTGAGTGAATAATGACACAAGCAGGAAATATTTGGATGAACATGCTGTACTTAGACTAACTTGGCCAGATAAGATGATGTGTGTCCCTGCTAAGCTTTCCTTTAGGCAGGCTTAGATCTAATCATTGCACTCTGGGTTGGCACAAGCTTCAAATGGTGCTGTGGAGTCTAGGATTAACTAGACAAACGTCACTCACACATTTAAACAGGGGTCTGGAATGGCTTATCCTATATACCCCTACATGCTCCACACCCACCCACAGCTGGCACATCTATCTTCTCAAAGCTGCTCACAATAAGACCTCATCAGAATATCTGCTGTGGTTGCCGAAGGTCATGTTAATTGTGCCATGATTTTAAATAAGCTTTAATGAGCATGTCCCTCCCCAGATTTATTTAGCTGCTTTTCTATTTTGTTCCATCTCTTAAGTATTTTTTTTTTTTTACTCGTGTGCTTCGAGGTACTCTGGCAAATCACCCCCCTTCTTCCCTGCACTCTCCAGCTCTAGCTGGATCTCAGGTTTTCAAATTTGGACGACCCACAATCGATATGGGCTGGCTGTGATTGGGTTGCCTTGTGTGATTCATTTCTGTAACCTTGGTGATGGTTTGATGTGGAGGCTGCACCCCTGTCCATAATATGACTCAGTGAGCGCGTGGAGAGAAGAGGCTGGTCAAGGGACGTATTGATTGGTTCTTCACTCCCCCTGCCCTCTCTCCTCTCCCCTCCATCTCTTTCTTTATCCATCATTTTTCTCGCTTGCTGTGGAGTTATGATAGCCTTAATCCAAAATTACTTTGTGTTTTTTAAGAATTGTCTTTAAACCTTAAACGTTTGAATGTGTGTTAATATTTATCTCTTTTTCATTTCTCCTTTTTTTGTCTCTACCTCCTCTCTTCCATCTATCTCCATTTTCTTCTATTCTTATTCCAGAATTCTATCAGACACAACCTTTCCCTTCACAGTCGCTTCATCCGGGTGCAAAACGAAGGAACGGGGAAGAGTTCTTGGTGGATGCTCAACCCAGAAGGAGGAAAGATGGGGAAAGGACCCAGACGACGCGCAGCCTCAATAGACAACGGAACTCGCTATCTGAAGACTAAGGGTCGCATCAGTCGAAAGAGAGCAGGAGCCATAGGTCTTAGACAAGGACAAACTCAAGGAGCTGAACCACCGATGCAGGGCTCTCCAGAGCATGGCAGTCCAGCAGGGAAAGGAGGTGTAAGTATAGTTGGTGAGGAGTATGACACCTGGACAGACCTCCATTCTCGTACATCATCCTCTGCTTCCACATTGAGTGGATGCTTATCCCCAATTCTAGCAGAGACGGAGGCTGATGAACCTGAGGAGGGGGAACTCTCTTGTTCAGCTTCCCCCCGGCTATATCCAAGCCCCACCAGCACGAGCTCTCCAGCCTTGGGTACTGGGAGCCACTGTCCCAATGTTGAACTGCCTCAATTGACAGACTTGACCGGGGCTATTAGTATAGGTAAAAATGGCTACCCCCAGCCACAACAAATCAAATGCAATGGTTACCCCTATGTGCCTGGGTCAAAATCAGAGGGATCATACTGCGGGCCCTTGTACAGACAGTCTTCCATGGGCATGCTTCGGCATCACACTCCCATGGAGACCATCCAGGAGAATAAGCCAGTCAACTTCCAGTGCCCATTGAGGGGCTATTCAGAGAACAATGCTCTGCAGAGTCTGCTTACAGGAGGCCCTTCCTACTGCAGCAAAGACTCGATGCGGGAAACACATGCTCTATTGACACAAGGGAATGGAGTTCACAGTCAGCACAACCCCAGTCATAACCACAATCACAGCCAAGAGCACACTCACAATCCGGCTCTACACAAGGGCCATGGCTCAGTTCATGACCAAAACACCATCCACCACCAGAGCCACAATCAGAGTCACAAACACCAAGCTAGCCTTGACTACAGCCACAAGCCCCACACTGCCCATAATTATGGTCAGAGTCATGAGCATGGCCACAGTAACAAAGTAAATCCTAGTCACAACCACAGTCCTCGCTCCAATCAGAGCCATTTGCACAACCATGTATCCCACAACCCTCATAATCCTATGCACAGTGGGCCTCACCATCAAGCTCTGTCTCCACGAGTGAGCAGTGACATCCTGCAGCCCTACAGTCTGAAGACCTCTACCCATTATGCGCCACGCCCTCATCTACCAATATCTCCTTCTCTGCCACCAAACCCTGCTGGCATTATGGATGTTCCCCAGGACCCTTGCCGCCTAGCATCAGCATCACACCCGCGTCACCAATCTTACCCAGGAGTTCAACACCAGGATATGTCTGACTCCTGGCATGGTTACTATCACAACAACCATCCAGGTAATGCTGGATACCAAGGACAGCAGCATAGTTCCCATAGAGGAATGGCTGCCCAACTGGAAATGGAGAACATCCCTAATAGTGTAGAATGTGATGTGGACTCCATCCTGCTCAATGACTTTATGGACACAGGAAACATGGACTTCAACTTTGATGGTTCTCTGTCTCAAGGGGTGGGCATGGGGATGGGCTTAAGTTTAGGGGCTTTTGCTTGTCCTCCACCAACACATAGCAACCAGAATTGGGTGCCAGGGTGAACTTTGGCCATAGGGTTTGATAATATGGCCAGAAACAACTCCCAATGGGTTAGTCTGTTGGTGAACTGTGCCCTTGGACTGACTGTGATTTTGTTTTTTATGAGACAATACATATTGTCATTTTGTTCCCTGGGGATTCTCTACACTCCACGTTGTACTTTTTCTCCCTCTTTGACTTTGTTTATAAAGACTTCATACTGAACTTGCCCCCACTGAAACCAGTGCGTAAATGACTCAGCTTTTCAATTTTGTTTAGTCTTTTTCTCTTCTCCAAATCTCATCCTTTTTTTCTTAAACTCTCAAGCACTTTACATCTGTCTTTTCATATAAATGCAGTAACACAAATACCAGGCAAAGTCACATTGTGTGTTGACTTAAGTTTAATGTATGCAATCCACCTTCTAGTATTATCCCCTCCTACAAAGAAGGAGTTGTTCTTGACTTGACAACATGATCAAACACCTGCATAAATATTTTCAATGTAGAGCGGCTCTCAGAATTGATATTAAAATGCAGTGGAAGCTTTAAGGTTAAGGATGAAGAAGGGGAGGCCTTCCAAGGAGGAGAAGTTAGAGCTGAAAGAATGCAGGTGGAAACATAAAGGGAACTCCAAGGTCAGGATGATTCTTCTTTCTGCAGGGGGACAGCGGTGTCTCCTGTTCTGTTTAAGACGGGAGACGGCCATCCATCAGGCCACCATCAGCACCACCATCCTTTCTTTAATCTGCAAAGTAATTCCCGATTGATACATCACTATTGCATATCTAATGTGCTATTCTGTTTTTTCAAACCCCTCCTATCCCTATTCAACTCCAGACACACTGGCTTAATGTGTTTTGGTGAAAAGTGATGATAAAAGTCACTCTGCACTTAATGGGGTAGGAAAAGAAAAGGGTTTCAGAAGGATAGGGAGGGGGAGTTGCATAGAAGGGAGATGATAGGAGAGGAGAAATGCAAATATTCCCTGTGTGCCTCTTCCTCTCCAATTTGGGGATTTATGTAGCTTTCCCCGTAATGAAATAAGCAACGATCAGAGCCTGTTGTACATCCTGAGAAGCTGTCTGATTGACCTGTGCTAGGCTGCCTCATAGTAGGACCTTCACATGCTGACCCCAGAACAGTCGAGCGAGCAGCTGCCGTCAGGGCAGGATGTTGATGGAACTGCTGTCCTAAGAACCCCCTGCAACCTTGTCTAATTCATTAACACCTAGGTTCGAGCTCACAATGTGCTTTTACTCCTATGAATTACTCTCTGATGAACAGCGTCAACAGATTAGTGTTTTGTGCTATCTGCTCTTCCCAGGCTCCTTCCTATCGTGCCGCCCCATCCTGAGGTTACTCAGAGGGTAAACAAGAGTAATTAACCGCCAAACAAGATGGATGAATTATGCAAGCGCATGTATTCGCTCATTGGCACAAAGTCATAATTCTTCCTCCTCCCAAGCACAAGTAGGGTGATTTCTGAGAAGTTGTGCCCAGCGACTAGGTAAAGCAGTCTGAAAGTGGTGTGCTCACAGTGTCCTTCAAGTCTTCAAAGCATCTTCTCTATGAGTGTCCCTGCCCAACCCTTGCAATGGCTTTACTTTGCTAATGTCTTTTCTTGTGCTCGTTCTGTGATTGTGCAGTTGTCTGTCCAAAGTAGTATGGATAAGAGTGGATTGAACTTATTCATGTGCAGTTTGAAACCAGACAAATGGAGGCAATAGGTGACAGGTGCTCTGGTATGAGAATGGGAAGATGAGAGGATTATGAAATGTAGATAGGGACATCCTGAAAGGAAGGAAAAGAGCTAAATGAGTAGGCAGGTTCTGTTAGATACTAATAGATTTTCCTGCTCAGTAGTTTTCTGTAAAATCGTCTGTTTCAATCAGGCCAAATGTCAAGTGCTACTCAGTCAGCTCCAGTGGGCTTTGACCAGAAATCCACTTCTCGTTCGGGATCAAGGACAATGACAAGTATATCCATACACAATTCTTTTATTTCTTCTTTCTTTTCCCTAATTTAAGATAGCTCATTATTGTAACCCAACTGTAATTTGCTCTCTGGCCCATAAACACTTGTATGTCAAGCTTTTCATATACTGTATGTGTGTGTGTGTGTGTGTGTGTGTATATGTGTGTGTGTGTGCGCGTGTGTGTGTGTGTAGTGTAGTGATGTACACGAGTCTGGGAATATTGTTCAGAAGTAACTTGCCCTGGTACTGTCCATGCCTTGCTGAGTGCAGCATACATAATATATACAGTTTATATTTATTGGTTACCATCTATGGAGTACCCCTCACTGCTTTGTTTTCTCGTTGACAAAGAGTAAGAATGCTATTTCAGTTTGACTGTATTTCATTCTGTACATAATCTATATTGAGTAAATTGTATTATAAATTTTTTGCAAATATTTTCTTTTCTAAAATGATGTATCTGCTCATCTGGTGACTGTAAAATAAAACAAAAAAGAAAAAATATCTCTTTGTGTTTCAGTCACTTGCATACACAACCACATTCTGTCATCTGATTGTGATCAAGGTAAGAAACTACCAATTGATGTTTTAATAAGGTTTCTATGAATTTAAGTGTGGAAATAAATTCTTACAGTCTGATGTATAAATCAATTGAGGCTGATTTTTGATAATGCTCCTAAGATCCACATTAGAAAATACATTTCAGTTACTGCTATAGGATCAGTGTGCAACTTGAAAGCACTGTAGTAAATACTATATTTGTGTTCTCTAGAAGACTATAAAGTCATAAATATGACTGCAAAATCAAAGAGTTCTTTACAACATAGACACAATGGGTAAGACATTTAGGAAGACATTTAGGAAACCTAAAAAACATGAAGTGCTGCAGGATCATGCCAGTGCCCACTTTGCAAGCCCATTACACCCTTGACATATTCCAGGATGACAATGTCAGGTTCCATTGGGCTCAGGTTATAAAAGGGGGATACAAAGATAATAAGGCATCATTTTTACATGTGGACTGATCATTACTAATCCAACTCCACAGAGATTCTTCAGGATATGCTGATGTCTGATTCCCATCCTCAAAACGTTCAGTAAATGTAGAGGAATACTTTGTTAGAATTGGGCTATAGTTCCTCACTTTAGCATTGTATACTACAACATAATCCATGTAAAATACTGATTGTCTTATTCTTTTTAGAACTATACTCTTGAGTTAAACTCTGGCTGTGTCACAGATTCTCCTTTTCTCTCTGTTACAGTAGATACACGTCTTCAAGATCAGCATCCGCTCATACACTTTCTTATAACTTTCCAATGAAATCTGCATGAATTAGGAGGTAACTGGCCACCTCATGTCAGACGTAACTGGCCAATAACACTCGGTTGCGTCCGGTCCTTCTACTGTACGGGGCAGGCCCAGCCCAGAAGATAAATGTCCAACGTACCCGGATTTTGGGGCTCCTGCCAACTGAGATCCTCCGTGAGCTTTGTTTGTGAGATCCCAGTGCTGATTTACTTCACCTGTGACCACTAACTGTTTTGTTTGCCAATAAAATGCTTTGTATTCATTTTTAGCTGTTATGAGATCTCTTTCCTAAACTCTTGATCACTGGTTTTCATAGTAGTCAAGCAAGAATAATTTCTGTGAATCTATCTATGCTTTGAAAGCTAGTTGTTGTACATCTTGTGTTTGCATGAAAAGGTCGTAGGCCTGTATGTGCATGAATGTGATGTGTCTGTGTGCAAATGCTCGTATAGGCTTACCTATCATCACACAGACACTTTTATCACTGTCTGAGTTTTTATTATTGCAAAGCTCCCAGTATATGTGTCTGTATGCCCGTGTGTGTCGCTAGTCCATCACCTGCGATAAGACTCGTTAGCAACTCAATGCCATGCCACAGCTGAGTCTGTCCCTGCGGAGGCTTCCTCACTTGGGAACTGACAGCATCTGCCCGACCATACCTTGCACACACACACACATGATTGTGTCCTCAATGCCCCCTCCCCCCTTAACCCTCCACCTTTACCCCCCATTTTGTGTATGGCATGAGTCCATAGAAGGACAGTCAAAGCTATACATAGGCAGTTCGCTTCACCTTACCTGACAAGATGGCTGAACCCTGTACACCTGGGTAGATGGCGTCAATTGGCCCCACTTTCTCACAAACACACTCACACACCCACACATACACAGACTCACACAAACACAGCCACATGCTGTCAGGAGTCAATATCAGCTCTTCATCATCTCTAGCTTATGCCATTCTATAAAGTATGCCTCTTGGATGCTAGTTAGTGAATCTGTTGGAGAGAAGCGGGTTAGTGTGAGACAGAATGCATAATAAGAATGGCTCATGCTGCATTCCATGCAAATGTGAAGCCTATCGTGACAGAGCCTTGATGGATTTGTTCTGACAGACATGGTGACAGCCTGGTGACAGCAACTTAAAAACCAACGCTCCCTCTCCCTCTTCTCCTTCCCCCCTTGTATATATTTACAACCAGGGAATCTTAATGCACTCTTGCACACTAATCTCCCCTGTTTCTCAACTGCTTAAGATATGTCCCCGTATTTCACAGAATATGGAATTTTGTGATCTAACATTGGCTGGGGGCTAATATGTGTGCTTTGTACTATTATATGGTATATACATGAAATGTATATATTGTATACATGTATGTCTGCATGTATACAGATGCTAATGAAAAGTACTAAGAAATTCTAGAGGACTGGTCTGACTGCTACATTTTTTGTTTCAATCAGTCTATTCATGTCTTTAACAAAGTGTTTCCTTTCCGACTGAATACATGAGTTCATTACCTTCTAATATAGCTGAATAATACAAGACCAGGTAATATATATAAATGATTGACACAGGTTTATAGCACATTTTATGTATTCCCATGTTTGATATTCTTGATTACATATTTTTTGGTGGGTCAGGCCATATCTGTCTGCGCCCAAAGAACTAACAGCCTACAAGACCATTGTTATCTGAAAAATTTGACTTATCATTGTGTAAGTCTGAAAAAAAAA